AATGGACAGCAGTAGTTCAGTGGGACACAACTGCCCTTGCTATGTTCACTTGCATGGCAGGAGGGAGCCCACCGAGACCAAGGAACACCAGGTACTTGTCTGTTGGGCTTGTTATAACTTTAAGTGACCGGGGAAGTATGCCAGCAGTCGTTTTCCAGTCTTAGGAGTTATTGTTCCTGTAAGTCACACTGCTTGGTTGGTATCAGAGAGGATTTGGACCTAGGCTTCCCTGCCTCCAAGTCTGGTACTTGACTTAGTATACACTGTGCCTCATAGGCTGACTGGAAGGGCACCCCCAGACATTTCCTTAAGCTCTTGATAGCTTGCTTTGAACCTGACAGCTAATTTTATATTTTTCAAGCCACAGACTGAAGTGAACCCTACGTTTTTTGTGCTTTTGGTAGTTCCCTTTTGTGCTAGAAAATCAGAGAGACCTTATGGAAATTTCATGACCGCCTTCTGAAGGAAATACTGGGGCCCCTGGTTTAGTCAAAGAATCCTCTAATTCCAGATCAATTGGACTTTATAAGTTTATAAATTTACAAAATTTCATATATTTCTTTGATACAAATTTATAAACTTTCCCTTGGTAGTCCAAAGAGCCCTGAGAGCACTTGCTCAGAGCCAAATAGGCAGTGTGAAGAGAAGGAGCACAGAAGAGAGACCAGCTCATCCCTGCCTGGGAGGAGATGACATTAGAGCAGAGGAGACCAAACCTATCATGTCCACGTAAAACCACTCAAGAAAAAAGTATGAAGCAGTGTAACAAGCAAGTACTGACTGAGCACATGAGTGCTGAGGAGACGGGGGGGGGGGGGGGGGGGGGGGGGGAAGAAAACCGGCAGAGGCTTCTTAGGGCTTTTTTAAAGTATAAACTTAATTGGATGCTTTAGCATTCACATGAAGTGTCCTATCCAGGAGGGAAGTAAAGTTTGGGCTGTCAAAGGAAGTAACCAAAATAAAACTCCCTTCCAGGGTAGGAGCCTGCTTCCCAGGCCCAGCAATACAGGCTATGATCCCACCAGGGGTTTCACCTTTGTCTTTGGTGTTTAAATGGTGGACACACTGTGGCAGCTTTATACTTTTTCTCTCTCTCCCTTTTTTCCACCCCAACAAGTTACCACCATTCTAAGTGAAATGTCTCATCAACTAAATGATTGACATCGACCTGAGTGATAAAAGACAAGTTGGGGGGAGGGGGGAACAGGACCCTAAGTGTTCTCTTCAGGAGAGGAGCCTTCACAGGGCTGAGGTTTTTAGATCTAAGCTCTCCTTCCAAGTTCCCAGTTTCTGAGTTTGAGATCTCTGGGCCCGTCTATTACTAGAGCAGTCCATGATCCTACCTGTCATCTTAGTATGAGTTACTGCAGAGAGAAGTCTGTTAGGTATTGATTTCCATATCTGGTTTTTATTGATTTCCTTTTTTCAAACTCAGCTTTATATTTTTTAATTAATTAATTTTTTGTTTTCAGCATTTGCTTTTATACGATTTTGGGTTCTAAATTCTTCCCTCCTCCTTCCACTCTCCCCTCCTCACAATGGCATGCAATCTGATATAGGCTGTACATGTGTGATCATATTAAACATATTTCCACATTAGTCATGTTGTGAAAGAAGAATCAGAACAAAAGGGAAAAACCATGAGAAAGAAAAAACAAAAAACAAAAACAACAAAAAGGAAAATAGTATATCTCGATCTGCATTCAGACTCCATAGTTCTTTCTCTGAATGTGGATAGCATTTTCCATCATGAGTCTTTTGGAATTTAGATCATTTCATTCGGCTTCAAAAAAAAAAAAAAGAAGAAAGAAAGATACCTGCAGCCATACTTCACCTGGGGGTGAGGCACAGGAAGGTTAGAGGAGGGTTAGGAGGTATTGACCAGGGTCATCCCTGGAGGATTCCAAGGTCACAGGCTGCTTCCCATGAATTCCAGGCCATCAGTCCAGTAGCCAGGGCCATGGCAGCATCAAGAATGAGTTGAAAGTTGGGCTGCTGAAATACGACTTTTTTTTTTTTTTGGTGAGGCATTCAGAGTTAAGTGACATTCCCAGGGTCATACAGTTAGTAAGTGTCAAGTGTCTGAGGTCGAATTTGAACTCAGGTCCTCCTGACTCCAAGGCCAGAGCTCTATCCAGCCTGCCACCTAGCTGCCCCAAGAGATCCTTCTTGATTTGCTTTTTCAAGAGATCTTTGACAAGCTGGATCTCCTAGCATTCCTGACACTATTTTTATAGGACTGTGCCATGTCTCAGCTGATATTCTTCCATTCAGCTTCTGTTACCTGATTTTGCTTCCATTTTCAGGAATTCCACATTTCCTTTTCAAATCTAAAAGGTGAGTTTCCTGTGCAGCCACATCAGTCTCTTCAGACATGCCCCATTTTTCCTTCACATTGGAATTGTTTCCTTTTGTGTCTTCAGAATTTCATTCTTGAGCATCTCTGATCCCTCCTGGGCTAAATTCTCCTGAAACATTTTAGTCCATGGAATCCTGCCTCTCTGTCCTCTGAACAGTTTGAAATCTGCTTTCCCAAAATCTAGGCTACATATTAGACTCTGCCCAGATTTGCTCTTCTCTATCACAAATTCTAGAATGGCGTAGCTACTTCCTTCTAGGGTTTCCATAACTTCCACCCCAGAGTGAGAATCAGATCCAGGATAGAATTTCCCCATGTTGGTTCCTCTACTTTTTGAATGATAAAATCATGAAGAAAACAAATCAAGAAGTTATTAGCTGCTGTGCTTTTGTCAGAGACAGAGACGCACACAAACATACAGAGAGAGAGAGAGAGAGCGCGAGCACATGCTTGAGTGAGCTTCAGCAGGTGTCTTGGGTAATTGCCTCATCGCTACCATATCATGCCTCTGTACCAACATTTTGTTCTATTTCCCAAACTCATCTATTTTCTCTTTCTGTCCAGGTGGTCTGTAGTAGTATATGCTCCAATGACAGAATTACTTCTGTTTTTCTCTTCTTTGACCTTCACTGAAATACTTTCTGTCATGCTTCTCCCCATTACTTCCTGGATTCTTCACATGGCTTTAACTTATAACACAACTCACCCCTCTTACCTATCCTGTGTTGTGGGTTTTATTTTGTTTTGTTTTTAAATAATTTATAACCATCCAGAGCCATAATTCAATCGTGGATTTTTCCCAAGTCATATGTGTCTGTCACATGTTCTGACCTCTAGCACATCTCTAGTGACCTCTAGTTTGTTGCCAAAACTTTGGGCATTTGTATATAGTCATTAAAGGCCATGGTTTTTACTACTGGCTTCTTTCTTAGATTTTTTCTCTTATGAATTTCAAGGTGTCTCAGCTGCTATTCGTCCTTTGTGGCTACTCTTTATAGTACCTAGATATCAAATGAGATAATATCTGTCAAGCTCTTAGTACAGTGTTTGGCACATAGTAAGCACTATATAAATACTTATTCCTTTCTCCCCTTCCTTATCTAACTTAGGTGATGTATATAAGGGGGTCTCCTTACTCACTCCTTCCCTTTTTAAAATTTGAAGCCTTTTGATTAATTTTGATTTTGGGGAGATTTTGTTGGTTCCATTACCAAGTACTACAGTAACAGATTCATAGTTCCTCCTCTGCTCTTCACCTTTCTCCTCCACAGATTCTATACAACACCCCTTGGAGAGGCTGACTTGCTTCAAAGATTCTTAAACAGCTGGTCAGGCCTAGGGAGACAAAGAAGGTTGGTAGGGTTTTTGAGGATTAGAGCAGCCCATGAGCTCATAACAGAAAAGGCTAGCCTATTGTAAATCATCAGGTTGTGTGCCTAAGCTGGTAAAAAGAAACACAAGAACATTTCAAGTTTCAGAAACAAATAAGCAAAAATATAAAGGGTCCATCATTAACTAATAATTCAACATGAGGAAGTGGAAATACGATGGGGGAAGGAGAGTAAATACAGTAAAGTAATGAGAGGGGACATCAGGAGTTGTACCACTTCTTAAGGGATCTTAAATGCCTGGAAGAGGAGTTTAGGTTGGATATAGTTGACCACAGGTGCTTCTCTGGGTTCTTGAGCAGGGAAGTGACATGAAAGCTTTTTTATAACTGTGCTTTGTTGGGAAAGCATATCACGAAAACTTTTTTTTTTAAATCCCACTCCTTGAGGGTTGATGATTTAGTCTCTGGTTTGCCAAAATACACAGAGTGAGTTGATCGATTTACCAGAATTCATCTAGGAAGAAGTCTGGGTAGAAAGTCTGAGGCCTTGGCTTTTTGTGCTGCCTGAGCACAACTCAGGCCTGCATTGCGCTTCAAAGGAACTTTTGCATTAGAATTCAGACAGATTGCCAGTAGTATAGGATCTCTGCCCAGGAGGGTCACTTCTTGGAAGAGCATAGGCCCTTTTGAGAGGTAAGTCACTGTTTCAATAGGAAGGCCACTGTTGAAGGAACCCTATGAACATGAAAGGCCCTGGATTGGCAATGGTAACAAACTTATTCACATCTCTGAAAGCCAGAGCTGGCATCAAGAACATTGAGCCTGGCGCCTAAAGAAAGATGGTTTGATCCAAGAAAGTTGCCCTCCCTATAAGCCATTGTAGCTCTTTACACAAAAACAACCTTGTTGTTAAATCCTCTTGGAGTGGTAGGCTGGGGTAGAGGGATAGGAACAGTCTCCAAATTGACCAAGAGAGAACATGCCAAGTTTTTGGAGACAAATATTTGTTATTTGGTTACTAAAGGGACATTTTTAAAGGATTTCAAAAATTCACCCATCTTGAATCCTGATAATTGTCCTGAGGTGAAGGACTGACAGGCTGAGATTCCAGGCCAGCAATAGCTATGGAAGTTGGCTACTACTCCAGGGATATAGTGTGTGCTCTTAGATCAGGAACACAAGTAACTTACTTTAGCTGATTTTGAGCTGAGACCTTTTTTCTAATCCCCACCACCACCACCCCCAGGCTAAGGGGACTCAAAATGAATTGGCACAAAGGAAGAAAGGCTTATCCCAATTTTCTTCTTGTAGGAGAAGTGGTGAATACCCATGGTCCCGTGGAACCTGACAAAGACAACATCCGTCAAGAGCCCTATACCCTGCCCCAGGGCTTCACCTGGGATGCCTTGGACCTAGGGGATCGAGGTGTGGTAAGTAGGCCTTGGACCCAGCTGACTGTCTCCTAGCCAACCAGTGAGCAAATATTTAGAGTGGATAACACCTGAAACTAACCCCACCTGAGAGAAAGAACCACCCTGAGATTGCTTTTACTCAGGACTTCTTTGGGGAAATCCTCTTTCACAGGTGAAGCAAAGAAACTTGAGATTCAAAGTAGATTCTATACTGTGCTCAGGGACTGACTCTTTGTGAACTTGTCTTGGTTTTTCTGACAGGTTATCTTCCTCAGCTGCCTTATTCAAATGTCTTTTTCCCCCTTGTCCTCCTAGTCTGTATCTGACTGATTATTTTATGAAGATTTCTCTCTGCCCCATGTTACCCTGAATTCCCCAAAGCATATTTACTCCACTGAGGCATCTCTACTCATTAGGATCTTCGGAAATAATGGTAAAGACTATTCTGCATTTCTGGATTTTAATGACAAATTCAGGTCTCTTGGTAACAGATAACAAAATGAGAACTCCACAGGAAAGCAGGTTGGGCCAAAGACTGGTAGCCAGGGTATAGTGGAAATTAGTTGTGATTTTACTTAGAACATTCTTTTTAAAATCATTTTCTGAGAATTACAGTTTTCCCTAAAACATTTACACATAGTAAATTGGAATACTCACAAATCTTTTTTGTTATAGTGTGTTCAGCACAAGTTGAATGGTATTCTTACTCTATCACTAACCTATTTTGAGACCACTACTCTATCCCTCTGTGCCTCAGCTTTCCATCAGTAACTACAGCATTTGTTTCTAGAATCTCTGCCAAACTTGGAGTAAAGAGAGCTCAAAGTTTCATCTTCATCAAGCCCTGTACAAATGAAAAAAAGAGGCCAAGCAGTCTTCAAGCCTGGCCCCTGGTGTAGCAAAGACAGCTCTTTAATAGATCCCCTTGTGTCTCTTCAGCTGAAAGAACTGTACACCCTCCTGAATGAGAATTACGTGGAAGATGATGACAACATGTTCCGATTTGACTACTCACCTGAGTTCCTTTTGTGGTGAGTCTTGAGTGCTCTTTTTTTTTTTTTAATTTTTTTTAAATTTTTTAAAAATTTTATTAATTTATTTTGATTTATCAACAATCACTTCCATACGCTTTCAAGTTGAAATTTTTTCTCCCCCTTCCTCCCCCCCACCCTCCCCAAGATGGCGAATAATCTGATATAGGCTTTACATTTACATACCCATTAAACATATTTTCATATTAGTGAAGTTGTAAGTAAAAATTAAAACCAATAGGAGGAACCATCAGAAAGATGAAATAAAACTCAACAGAAGGTAAAAATAAGTGATAGCAATTCGACTTCCATAGTTCTTTCTTTGGATGTGGACAGCATTTTCCATCCCGAGGCCTCTGGAGATGTCTTAGATCCTTGTAATGCTGAGAAGGGTTCAGTTTAACAATCTTAGTCATTGCGTAATGTGGCTGTTATTGTGTACAAAGTCCTCTTGGTTCTGCTCACTTCACTCAGCATCAGACCATATAAGTCTTTCCAGGTTTCTCTGAAGTCAGCCTGTTCATCATTTCTTACAGCACAATAGTATTCCATTACATTCATTTACCACAAATTAGTCGGCCATTCCCCAATTGATGGGTATCCTCTCAATTTCCAATTCTTTGCCACCACAGAAAGAGCTGCTATGAATATTTTTGTACATGTGGGTCCTTTTCCCATTTGTTTGATCTCTTTGGGATATAGCCCTAGAAGTGCTATTGCTGGATCAAAGGGTATGCACATTTTTGTAGCCCTTTGGGCATAGTTCCAAATTGTTCTCCAAAATGGTTGGATCATTTCACAACTCCACCAACAATGTATTAGGGTTCCAATTTTCCCCACATCTTCTCCAGCATTTACTATTTTCCTGTTTTGTCATGTTGGCCAATCTGATAGGTGTGATGTGGTACCTCAGAGTTGTTTTGATTTGCATTTCTCTAATCAATAACGGTTTAGAGTATTTTTTCATATGACTATAGATGGCTTTAATTTCTTCATCTGAGAACTGTCTGTTCATATCTTGAGTGCTTTCTTATGGCAGCTAGAGTGGGAGGTGGGTAGATTCTGGGCACCAGGAACTGCTGTCCACTTCAGAATGACAAATGGAAATGACAAATGATAAATGGAAAGAATTATGGTGTAATTTTAGTGCCTAATGCAAATCACCTGCCCATCCTAAGCCTAAGTGAAAGAGGAAGAACTTAACCTTGAATGGAGTGTTGAAATCATTAGAGTCATTGAAGCTGTCATAACAGACAGTGAACCGTAGGAGACGGCAGAGTTTGTGTGCCTCACCTTTACCCTCAGTTTTGTTAAAAGAGCAAACAAGTGGAAAAGCCATTTTGAGGAAAGGGAAGGGAATTGCTCCCCCCTCCTCCATTTTTAAGCAGCTAAGGAAGTATACTCAGTTGTGTGAAAATTGGGACCTCATAGCCTTAATTTAATTAGCAGAATCTTTCGTTGACCAGGGCCTAGACTGACCATTAAGGAAAGTGAGAGGGAAGCAGCAAAGCCTTAAGGAGGGGCCTAAGACAGCAGGCCCAGGAACATTGTACCATTTGAGGAGTATGAAGATGCCTCATGATATCTAAGCCTTTGTTTGCTTGAAAATGTTTTATTTGCTAAATGTTTCATCTGCTTTTATGTTTCCTTAAATTTAGCTATTTTAATACAAAAATTTATCTTTTTTTAAAACAAAAAAAGAGACTAAAGGAAATTGATGGCTAGCCACTAGCCATAGGGAATTGTTGGTCAGTGAAACACTGAAAGGAATTCTGTTCATTTGTTGTTTTGAAATGGTAAAGTAAGTAGGCTGCATCTCCAAACCTTTGGTATGTTATTAAAATGATCTGTTGCTTCTGTGATTTGTTCTTCGATCTATCCACTCTTTAGGATTAAATTATTTCCTCTCATTTAAATTTGAAGCCTTTCTGCAAGGGCCGTTTATTGATTATAATATTTATTGCTTTGTGGTCAGTAGAGGATATGACTGGCAGAGTAGGTGAGAAAGAATGGGATAATTTCTTCTTGGTGAATCTCGAATTCAGTGAGAAATGATAAAGCCAAGAGAGATGAGCTGGCGAAAGGGGCTGTCTCATGTTCCAGTTGCATGAGGGAATTCTCCCCTGAAGAGATGCAGCCCTTGGAGAGAAGAGTGTGGGCTGCTAAGAGTAGAGTCATGGCACAGGGTCTTCTCTTTTACCTTCCAGGGCTCTTCGCCCCCCGGGCTGGCTCCCCCAATGGCACTGTGGAGTCCGAGTCATCTCAAGCAACAAACTGGTGGGCTTCATCAGTGCCATTCCTGCAAGGATCCATATCTATGACACGTAAGTCTCACTGTTGCCCAGGCAGGTTCACCTCATTCTTCCTTGGAGAGAATGGGTCAAGGAAACATTGGAGGAGGAAAAGGTCTAAGCTTAGGGACATTTCCATAACAGGAACCTCCTGTTCTCCTCTGTGATGCTGCAGTTACAGTCATTGGTGACTAGAAGCATCTGCCGGATGCCCAGCTAAGGTGGCATGCTGCAGCATGGAGAAGACAATTTCTTTAAGTTCCTGACCTGACCTAGCCATAAATTCTCATTTTTGCACATTTAGAAATGGAAGACAAAGTGAGCCCCCAAAGATTTGTACCAGATTCCAAGTATGGATCATTCAAAATTGAAGTTTGAACTCTGTTCTCTATGTTCCCAGCACTGTCCCACCTCTCTGGCTTGACCTGGTGATGGTCATAGAGTCATGGCTTTGGAGCTAGGAAGATCCTCAGAGGTGATCTAATCTAACACCTTCATTTTATAGATGAGGGCACTGGGCTCCAGACAGCCAGATGACTTGCAAGGGCACAGATGTGGCCATGATATGTGAAATGCTTTGCAAACCTCAAAGTGATATAGAAATGCTAGCTATTATCATTATTATTGACCATGGAAATCAGACAGCTTAGCTTCCCCATTGTTCTATTTCTCCAGATGGATAGAATTCATCTTCAATTCCTCTTCCCTTACCTTCCCCTCAAAGAATACATATCCTAAACTGTTCTGAATTAACAAGGCCAGGGAACTTCTTGGAAGACAGCAGGATAGCTAGCCAGTCAGGGAAGTGTGGTTTTTGTGACCGTCAGAAGTGAAGGGAGGTAAATCTGAATAAAATCAGATCCAGCAAGCAGGCTCCTCACCCAGCACCCAAGCACAGTAGTAGTTCTTCCTCAGTATTAAATATATCAATTAATAAAAGAAGGGCAGGAAAAAGTTTCTCTACCAGAAGGGCTTGGTGTTTCCAGCTGTTTTTCCTTCCTGCTCCAGAGAGAAGAAGATGGTAGAGATCAACTTTCTGTGTGTCCACAAGAAATTGCGTTCCAAGCGGGTGGCACCAGTGCTGATTAGAGAGATAACCCGGAGAGTCCACTTGGAGGGCATCTTCCAGGCTGTTTACACTGCTGGGGTAGTACTACCCAAACCTGTCGGCACTTGCAGGTAAAAATCCCACCCTGCTCAGTCCTGGGAATAGTTCTGATGAGTGTTTGCATTATGACCTCAAGGATTTTCTCCTTTCGCTAAGCCCAATGCAGACCCTAAACTGGGATTCCCAAAACCTAGGTTCCTGTTGCTGCCATGTCCCTAAATTGCTGCTGGACTTGGAGCAACTTCTCTTTAAAATGGAAAGAGAGACTTGGGTTTGACTCTCTTATTGATTTATTTGGATAAATTGAAGTAAAAAATATGAATTATCTTTTAAAAGTAAAAGCACTAGATAAATTCAAGAGGTGATAATCATGCTAACACTGGCATTAAGTAGAAATAACAATTGCCTTTTTTTGTTGACTTGGTCCCAAGTTCCAGGAGAAAGAATGTTGGCTCTCTCCTCATTTACTTGCTGTGAAAAAACAAGAGGGCTGCCTTTTGAGCTTTAGTCTTCTTTAAGTGGCGAAAGAGAGACACAGACACACAGACAGAGAAAGTGCTGGATGTTTCATGGCGCGTGGTACAGCCGTCTGAGGATCTGAAGCATGGCCCTGTTCTTCAGTGTTTGGGAAATGTTTGTTTATATCCCAGGTTGAGTGTGGGTCTTTCATGCCATCTTCTGGCCATCTAGAGACTTACATGTCCTTGTCTTCTATGTTAGCCAGCATCTCCTGAAGATAGGCATCTTGTGTCTCTACAGGTACTGGCACCGATCCCTTAACCCACGGAAGTTGATTGAAGTGAAATTCTCACATTTGAGTAGGAACATGACCATGCAGCGCACCATGAAGTTATACCGACTACCAGAGGTGGGTGCTGTTTGGTGGTCACCATCTGGATGGTGGTGGTGCTTGCTGTGATTGAAAGCCAAATTCTGCAGATGGCAGAGAAGCCTCGCTATCAGTTGCCATGTACTTAGAGAATACCAGTTCATTTTTATATTAGTCTAAGTAAAGAACAATTAGAACCTGTGAATTTTCAGAGTAGAAAGAACTTTTGTGGTCAAATAGCCCAGCCACTCCCTTTTACAAAAGATGGAGAAATTGGTAAGTAAATCTGTTGCCACAGAATTCATGCACAGTAATGCATTTCCAAGCCAACAAATGTATTCTGTGTTATTTACTACCTTCATCACATTGCTCCATGTCTATTAAGCTAACTGTTTATGAATTAAATGCACATTCTTAGGCTCATGAACAGAATTTGGAATAGGTGTCTAAATCCCTAGATTTTGTTTCTGCTTTTTCTTCTAGGGGTGACCAGTCAATTTTCATAGGATTGTAGAATTTCAGAACTGAAAGGATTCTTGGGGAACATTTAGTTCAGCCTTTTCATTTCTCATTTTACAGTTGGTGATTTTACAGAAGCCATTCTCCTGAGTTAGTAGTGAAGACCAGGTCTTGAGCCCATGTTTTCTGTGTGAGCTTGAGGGTTGGTTGATTTTTTTTTTAATTTTTTTTTGCAAAATGAGGCCAGTGCCATTGAATCCTAGAAAGAGGGAATGTTTCAAAGCCCCGTCTTGGCTCCAGAAAATTTCTACTCAGTCGTCAATCGATAAGTGTCTTTGAATGCACACTGTACTGTGAGCTGGGGATGGAACAGCAGGCCTAGATTTACCAGGTGCCTGACCTGTTATGTGAGTCACTGCAGATGCTAATGGCCCATCTCTCCTTCCCAGTTTGATGCCCCTTGATGCCCTGTCCTGAAAATGAGTTGCAGCACAGGTTCAAGCACACTTCCTCTGTCAGAAGACACACTTGGGTGATTTTCTAAATGTGTCTTTCCTCACCCCTGTTTCAGTGCTAGGTTTCCATAATTCTACCAAACACTAGGTGCTGGGAGCCAATGAGGTAGGATGTAGTACTCAGAAAAGTCACTCGTGTTCTTCATTTATTTGAAATTCCACCACTGCTATTCTGTATCCTAGACCTGCATAGAACTTTATGTGTCATTGTAGGAGCTCCAGCCTTGATCTGGGGACAGATTGTTTCTTCCCAGAAAGTGAGAATTAGGTCCAATGTAGCAGTGAATTTCAAAACCTTGGAGATAGAATTGGGCTGGAGCTGTGTTTTCATCAGTATAGGGAACTCCCAGTAAGGAACCTTCCTGTTCAGGTGCAGGTCGGCACCTTCTCTATAACTTTCATAGTCTTGGAGAGTTGCCTGGGGTATCAAGAGATTGCAATTTGTCCAAGGTCACGCAGCCAGGATGTGTGAAGGACAGGACTTGGACCCAGGTCTCTCAGGCTTCAAGGCCAGTTTTTTATCCATGCTGCCTGTTATCTTAGGAGGATATCTTAGAAAATAGTTTATGGTCTTGGGAAAACAGGTTGTATCAGGCTGTCACTGAGAGTGACTAAATTGTTAACTCCACCAAATCATTTTCAGATGGATGGACCTAACCATAGCATTTGCTTCCACCTTTTCATTCTGCTAAGGAGTTGTCCCAAAGAAAATAATTATGAAAAGATTTAGATCTGAGAGGAATTTGGCATCTTTTTCATCGGCTACTGTAGGGCAGCTAGGTGGTGCAGTGGATAGAGTGCCAGGGCCTGGAGTCAAAAAGACTAATCTTCCTAACTTCAAATCTGACTTCAGACATTTACTAGCTGTGTGACCCTGGGCAGGTCACTTAACCCTGCTTGCCTCAGTTTCCTCATCTGTAAAATGAGCTGGAGAAATAAATGACAAACCACTCCAGTATTCTTGCCAAGAAAATCCCAAATGGGGTCATGGAGAATCGGACACAACCAAACAACACCACCTGTACCTGTGGCAACATCTGATTTCTGGGTGATGCGAATAGAGCTTAATGTTAGGTTCTCTTTGGAACCCAAGAGCCCATCTGACCATGTCTTCTCCCCTCAGACTCCAAAAACATCTGGGTTGCGACCCATGGAAAAGAAGGACATTCCAGTGGTTCACCAACTCCTGACCAAGTACTTGAAGCAGTTCCACCTGACCCCCGTCATGAGCCAGGAAGAGGTGGAGCACTGGTTCTTCCCTCAGGAGAACATCATTGACACTTTTGTGGTGGAGGTGAGGGATGGTCTGTGATCTCTGGCACTCTGAGGCCTCCACCAGTGCTCTCCTGGGTGACAGGCAGTAGAATTCAGCAAGCCAGGTGAATGCTGAATTCACTTTGTGCCCAAGGTTGGTCTGGTTCTGGCTTAACCCTAGTGGTACAAGTCTGAGTTGATGTGAGATAGGTGTGAGACAGGTAATTGATTTCCACTGATAGTGGTCCAACCCTGGAGAGACTGGGCTCATTCTAGAGCAGAGGTTCTTATGTTGTTGTTGTTTAGTATTTTGATGACTGTTTCATTAGTTTCCTTTGTAATCCTGTGTATTGTATTTTTAAAAACATTCTTCTGAGAAGTAGTCCATAGGCTTCACCAAACTAAGGGGTCCTTGGTATCACCTCCAAAAAAAAAAAAAAGGTTAGGATGCTCCTGTTCTAAAGCTTTCTAGAAATTTTGGGTCGGGGGGGGGGGCCTAGGACCCAATTTAACCTGAAATCCATCAGACTGAGTCCAGACCTGACCTCCTGCCTCCTATACTTGGCAGCATTTTACTCTCATTTTTTCATGCAGTCTCCCCAGCCATGATCCCTAACAAGTATTAGAGGTAAGATATGCAGCCTTGTCTTTCCTGGCCCTGGTTGAAATCATCTGACACTTTTGTTTCCCAGGGCCAGACTGGTCTAGACCCTGCCCTCCTCCAGATGGGGTAAGGGAGAGCCACAGGCCATTCCCAGAAAGTTAGGCCTGACTCCTTTTCCCAACTCTCACCTGAAGTCACCATGGGTAATCTGTTTTGCTTGGGGCTCACACTTTTGCCACATATGACCCTTTTCATTTTCTTCCTTCAGAATGCAAATGGTGAGGTGACGGACTTCCTGAGCTTCTATACTCTGCCCTCCACCATCATGAACCACCCGATCCACAAGAGCCTGAAAGCTGCTTATTCCTTTTACAACGTTCACACCCAGACCCCACTTCTAGACCTCATGAGTGACGCTCTGGTCCTCGCCAAATTGGTGAGGAATTGGCCTGGCAGAGGCAGGGGTGGGTGAGCAGTCAGGGCCAGACACTCAGAGCTCCAGGATGGTAGCTGCTGGCAGAAAAGAGGAGGCTTTACAGCCCAGGACATCTTCTAGCCTTGTTTAGGTAGGATCGCAGCTGTTTTCGAAGCAGCCTTCCAAAAAGCTAGAAAAGAACTTTCCAAACTGAAAGCCTCTCTGAATCCCTCCTGATTTATTTCAGTGAGTTTGGTTCTCACGGGAGGTGCTGCCAAGGATTCTGAATAGCCAGGCCTACCCTGAGAATAAAGAGTTTCTCCTACCATCTTCCCCATCGTGGGAGAGGGCAGGTTGGTCTCTGTCTTGGTGAGTCATTTTTCTGATGAGAGTGTGCACAGTAGCTCAGGCTTCCTTGAGACGCTGAGTAGGTCCCCCAGCTCAATCTGTGTGTATGTGTACCAAGGCTGGTATGGAGAACTGTTAGGGAGCATGTGCCAGAAAGAGAAAGAACACAATCCTTGGCTTTTGAACTTGGGGCATCTAATTTGGGAAACCAATTGCATGTTATAAAATGACTTAAGAACAATTACAAAGCAACATGTCACCAAGTGCAAAATCATACACTAAATATGAGGTTTTTTAAGACGTAAAGGCAAGAGGACTGATCAAAACAGAGTCTGGAGAGATCTTTACTGAAGAGAGTTTAGAGTCTGATCTTGCACATGGGTTTATAAGGGAGAAAGGCTTTCATTCTGGTAGAGGGAATATAGCGTAAGCAAAGGCCCAGGATGAGCAAACCTTGTACCTGTGATATTAAGGAGATTAGTTTGAGGGAAGACGTTGCTGGGGAAGTAATGAAAAACACAGAAAGCCGAGGAACCAGATGATTGAAGGCTTTGAATTCTAGGCCAAAAAGTTGGGTTGTGATATTCTAGACAATAGGAAGCCACCAATAAATGAAGAACAAGAGAATGGCATGATGAAAACAGTATTGTAGGATAATTATTCTGGCCTAGCTAGCCTTCCTGTTTTTACTCCTCTTACTTCTTGCTGCCACCTGCACAGAAAGGATTCGATGTATTCAATGCACTGGATCTCATGGAAAATAAAACATTCTTGGAGAAGCTGAAATTTGGAATCGGGGATGGCAACCTGCAGTATTATCTCTACAATTGGAAATGCCCCAGCATGGGAGCAGAGAAGGTAAGCATCCATGGGCCCTGCTCCTCAAACCTGTTGGCAGCTCCTCTGGGTGGTTGGAGTTAGGAGTTAGGAGCCCAGGCAATGGTCGAGGCATCTCTGGTAGTATCTGAGCTCCTCAGTCCTTATGGTAGATAGTCCCATAGACTGGGACACAGGCTCTTCTGAGCTCTAGGTCTTTGTTAGGAACTGTCCTCCTGGGCCCTAAAGAAATCAAAATTTTCTGATGTCCTGACCAGCAAAGCCAGCCTTGCCCTGATTACGTATTTTGTAAAGGCTGTCCCTGAAGTAGGGAGGGAGAGAGGGGGAGGGAGAGAGAGAGAGAGCGCGAGAGTGCAAGCGAGCTCAGAGTAGGAAGGGCATTGCTACCAGGTGAGCCACCTCATCCTTCTTCAGGGCCTTCTGGGTCATTTTAGGAAGCCCAGAGGACCCAGGACTTTAGTAACTAGTCCACATGAGCTTTTTGGAGCTGCCCTGGGAGCAGAGCCATGCCTATGGAGCGTGCCTAGGTATAAGTGAAGTAAATGGCTACCCGGGGTACCACATGTATGAAGGGAGCTGCAGTGAGGAAGTTCATTTTTGCACACCAGGCAGATCTGTTCTCCTTAGCACATAGATAATTTGTGGTAAGTCTAGAGTTTCCTGTGAATGGTGAGACACTCTGGAAGGCCTACAAATTCTTTGTCAGGAGCACTAGACCTCCATGCTTTGTCTTGTGCAGGTGCTGCTTTGGTTGGGGGATGGTTCCTGCTGCCTTTGGTTATTGGCCTCTCCCCAAGCCTCATTCCCGGGAGCCTCTCCCGAGGTCTTACTCTCCTTGCCCCTCCCTGCTGCTGGGCAAGTGGTTTGGTCAGGCAGCATTTTAAAAGGGTAGCCGAAGAATTTTATCTCCTGAGCAGTGTTGCTGTAGGACCCAGAACCAGCACTTTTCTCTGACATTTCAATAAAGAGTGTAAATCCTTGTCAAAGAGATTTGGTGCAAAAGTCCCATAACATCAGTGTTAGTCCTTCCTGTCAAAATATTAGCTCAGGCCAGTTCCCTAAGCAGGTTTCCTCCCTCCCACAAAGCCATGCTAGTTTTGTGCCAATTGAATTTCTTTTGGATCTTCAGGATAGCAGTGGGGACAGCTCAGGTCTCTGGGAAACATCCATCTAACCTCTTCCTAACTGGCTGCCCTAGGTTGGACTGGTGTTGCAGTAATCAGCTGCCAATGAAAATTGGACAAAGCCACTGAGAATTCAGAGCAGGACGTGGAACCCGCCGCTGTTGGTCTGATTTTCATGGAAGCGAGAATCCCCAGCTGAGGGAACAGAACAGAACCAGCTATACCAAACAGCCACTGACTTTGACAGTTGTATCACAACGGCGCAGGCCGTCACCTCTGGCAGCTTCTCTGGTCTCTGTTTTCCAATTCATTACATCCTCATGCAGCCATGATCAAGGGAATGTAACTGCTGAAAACTAGCTCATGATTGGCATATTATGGAGTTAACGGGTGAATAATAAAAATATATATATTATATATATATAATATTTTAAATATCTTTCATGTTCCAGACTTACAAGGATGTTTGGTCCCTAATGAAAAGCTGTGTCCGGCAAAAATCCTTAAAATAAGAGCCAGGGATTCAGCATGTTAGTGCCACCAGTCAATGCCCTCAGAAGAATGGCATTGGCATTGACATTTGGGGGTGGGGTGGCAAGGGTGATGCAAGTGTGAGCAACCTCCCCCTTGGTTCCCATCTGCTTTGGGAGTGGAACAGGTGAAGGGGGTAGGTATTTAAGTAGGAGCAGAGTAGAGTAAGAGAAGTTCAGGTCATTGCTGAATCCTACGGATGTGCTCAGGGCTGGTAACATGACACGTGGGCCCAGGCTGAGATGGAGTCCCATGGATAGAGCTGTAGAGTGAGCGTCAGGCCCACGCTGCCAATGCTTCTACCTGGGCCCAAAAAGCATCACGGAGTCTGTTGGAAATGGGTAGGGGAGAAAGTTTTATGGACACAGCTCTCCTGGGCAGTTCCAGTAAGGATTTAACTTATTCCCTACTCCTTCCATTACCATCATTACAGTCTCTACTCTCTAAGAAACTAATTTGTTGATTCCTTTTTTAAAGGGCTATGTGGATAGTTGTTGCCATCCTTTGTAGGGAGAACATCCCCTTTGTGGGATGTTAGATCTGCTCAGTGTGACTGTCAGCTCGAAGGGGACCTCAGACCTCCTTGTAGCTTCTGGGACAGTACTGAGTGCATGGCAGTGCCATTCCTGTTAGCAGAAGCATGTCCCACTGCCCGGGGTACGTGTGTGCATGAGTGACAACTGTCAGGAGATGACGATGGCCATGGGGCTGCTCACCCAAATGCCTTTCTGCCACCAGTCATGAGCCCGTGCCTTCCAGCTGTTCTCATCACATTAACCATTCCCCACTGCCCATTCTGGATACCCCTTTGTGCTTCCTCAGGGACCAGCCCATGGAGCAGCTGGGGCTGGGGAGAGGGATTTTGGTTTTAGACAGATTAGGAAACTCAGCTATAAGAAAGAAAGGGGTTTTTCATGCTGTTGTCTTGGCCTGTATTTCAGTGCTGGGTGGTTTCATGCTTGTAATGGCCCTTAACTTACAAAAAAAAAAAAGAGTAATATAATCATTTTTCAGAGGTGCTGAACAGAGTGGGGCCAGGGAGCATTGTTTTGCCAAGTTTTGTTTTCACCCAAGTACAATCTCATAGTTTTTGTTCTAGAGAGAAAAAAAAAACCTCAGTGGTGGACAGAGAACATGATGTACAGGGGTGTTCTTGCTCCTTTTACCTTTTGGGCTCTTTCAGGTGAAAGTGAAACCTCAGTTGGAAGGCCAGGCGAAGCCATCTCTGGTCCCACTGACTGAAGCCACCTTTGCCAGAGTCGGGTTTGTTCCAAGGTATGGGTTTGGTTGGCATTTTCAGGGGACAGTTCTGAAGTAAGGGGTGTTTTCGTATGAACTTGACCACGATGTGTTTGAAGACTGAACTAATTGGGTGGTGTTGGGATTTATGGAAATCCTGCTTGCCCTCTGTAGACGTATAGGAATGGGTCAAAGTCCCCCCAGCACTGGAGTTAAGTTTGTTCAAAGATCTTTAGAGCCCTACCCTTTCATTCCCCCCCCCCCCATCCCTACCCTGTGAATTATTTTAAAAAGAACACTCATCACTTCAGGACCCAGTGGATAATAGTGGATCTTTGAGCCCCTTAAAGCAAGGCTACTGAGACCAAAGCAGCTGCCTATTGGACAGCAGTATCCTCATGGAAAATTAAATGGGAGGGAGCAGGAAGCCAAGGTGTCCCAGACTTGGTCTTCTTTATCGAGATTTAAGTCCACCAAAGTCTAACAAACCCAATTACCCACTCTTTTCCTGCCTTAGGCAATGGGGTGAAAAGGGGAAAGTCCTGTCCTAGAGCTGCTTTGAACCACCTCAGACAAGGCCATGATCAGAGAGGCATGTGTGGGATTCTGGGGCGCTCTTTCAATTGTCTCAAGCTTTCTCAGGGGATGAGAAGATGAGTTTGCTCATCTTGGTTAGCGTGGATCATGAAATGGAAACTCAGGTGCTTAACCCCGCTGGCCCAGGAATGTACAGAACCCTTGGCAAAGATTTCTTTCCAGGATTGTGAAGCCCCAAGGCCTTTATACAGTTGGCACCATGTGGCCAGGTGTGAGATCCTGAGCACCAGTCCCTTGGCTTGCTCATGAATACAATCATCATTTGATCAAAATGCCAAGACTTTGAATTCCCATGATCCTTTTCTGCTTGCTGTGCCATTTCATCTAGATCTTCAAGAGTCAGCATAGAGTTGTTATTAAACCAGCCCCTGGAGTTTGATCCCACCCTCTATCCCATCCTTGGGATTTCTAGGCCTAAGCCCAGAAGGAAGAACCACTGTAAGATCCCAGGTCCTCCTTCCAGCTCTTGGAGTAACCAGGGAAGCTGATGGTCAGTGGTGCCACTACATCCCTAGAGGGGGGCTTACCAAAGGGATCTAATGGACCCAGGTGGCATCCTGTGATTTCCTGTGAATTTTTGCTTCTTTATTGTGGTGCCCTGGCCCTCTGGCCTCATACATTGCTACCCAGGTTGGCTTTAAACACATCCTTTTCCAAAGACTTCTTTGGAATTGCTCTCACTATGTGACTGCTGATCCTATGGTACAGTTTGGTAGGCTCCCACCGGCTCTTGCAATTAAAGCCTTCTCTTGCCTGAGCCAGAAACCTGAAGGAGAAGGCCTCCTGTGACACCAGCTCCTTCCCCACCCCCAGTTACCCTTTGCTGCATGAGTGCTATTCTGAAGAAGCTTTGTTCCAAGGTGAAGATTAAAAAACAAAAACAAACCAGTCCAGTCCACCTCAGTTTAGTGGGGACACACTAAAGCAGTGCTGTTTGCCCTTCAAGTCTGGAGGGAAAATTAAGTCCTGCTTTTTCGGACCCACCTCCAGCTTCCTTTTCCTTCCTTTTTTTCTGGCTTAGGCCACTCTGGAGCCTAGATGGAAGTTCCTTTGTGTATGTTGAGGCATCTCAATTGTACCTCCCAAAAGATAAACCATTAAAAACTGAAATGTGTGGTAGACTTCAGTGGACTTCTAATGGAGCTGAGCTAGGAAGGCTTCAGGCTACCTGCAGTGGACTAAATAATGATGGTCCCAAAGCAAGTGAATGATGAGATCTTCAGGGGTGTTGCTATCCAGACTTGGGCTAAAGAAGGTGATGCCCTGTGATGGGGAGAAGCCAGAATTGTCTCCTCCCAGAACTCCCTGCCTCTTATATCGAGCTCAGCTGGGGTGGGAGATGGGTGGGAGTCTGGTCCTCCTTTGAGAGCCTTGTTAAGGTAGACATAAGATCATCAGTTTGTAACTTTCTACTGTGTGACTTGGTAGAACTGAAAAATGTGACTTTGGGTGTCTCCCCCTCCCCCCCGGGGAAGGTGGGTTTGCCACTGAGAACACTGGATAATGGATCTTAACAGGTGGGCCCTGAATAGTGGGGGGTCCTCCAGGCTGGGGGGGTTTCTCTGGATGCTGCCCAGGGGAGGAAATGAAGCCTCACCTTTTTGTTCTCAAGTTTCTTGGTGTATTGGGGTAAAGATGGAGGCATTTTGGAGGGGGAGGTTTGGTGAAGTAGCTTCCATTTCAGAGGAACAAGGGATAAAGAAGTTGTGTGTGGCTGGTCATGAGTGATTGCAATTTCCTTAATTCTAATAAAGCAGCTGAAACCCTTCTGCTTTCCTGGCATTCCTGTCGGCATCAGGTGGCACTGGGACAGGAGGTGAGGTTGGGCTGGTTACCCTTCACTGACCTGCAGGCAGGATACTTCTCCATGGCAGCTCCAAGGGGCCGGCAGAGCTTGAGCTTTAGTCTCATGACCACGAGGCCGGGCCAGCTTGGGAAACTTACTTTGGCTTCTCCTCTGCCTTTCAAAGCAAACTTGGCTTTTTCCTCATTCTTCCCCAGCTCTACAGCCATGGTGGAGCCAGTGCTGTCTCTAAGGCTCATTGAGTGTGAGAAGAATGACAGAGTCCCCAGAATAGGGTCACTTCTGGGAGTGGCTGCCAGCAAGAATGAGCTCCTACCCCCTGGGCTACCCAATGGGCTCCCCTCTGAAGGGGACTGAAGCCTGAGCCAGGCCAGGCTAGGCGCTGGGCACGTGGTCAGCTTTCACAGTTTGGGTCTTGACAGATCCTAGAATCTAGAGGTGCTTAGGGTTGGCAATGCCTAGGTATCCAGGTAGGGCTGCCTTAGGGTAAGCCCAACTGGCCTGGCCTCAGGGACCCCCATAAACCATAAGATACTTGGGGCAACAGCAAAGGATTGTAGGGACAGCGTACCTGTGACTGTTATCCTTGCCTCCAGTTTTAGGTTGAAGTTTTAGCCCCTTAATTAGCGTGTCATCCACTATGGTCAAGTTCACTACCTCCTGTGGGGGCAGAGTCTCTCCATTGGCCTTTCCAGGGAAGACAGGCCGTGTGGTATAGTGGGCAAAACTTGGAAGTCAAGAGAAGTGGGTTTTAGCAACTAGTCTAGGGCTGTAACCAGAGGCAAGTCAAATAACTTCGATGTTTTCCTCATTTGAAATAGATTCAAATGAGAAAAGGAAGATGAAAGCACTCTGTAAGTCGAAGAGTGTTGTATCTGTGTAACAATAGATACCATGATTCCTCCTGGGTGAGCTTGAGTTGTGGACTTTAAGGCCACTGGAGTCAGGTACAGGTTGGGAACTTAAATCTAAGAAGCTAGACCCCCTTCCTCTGCTCTTGCTTAGAACATTAAGGCCTCGGACCTCAGTGCTTAGTTTCTTGACAATGTCATTTTGTAGAGACATCTGTATACTGCCTCTAAAGCAGGGCTTCTGAATGTTTTTGGTGTCCTGGACCCCTTCTCGGAATCGTTTTTAAATGCATCGAACTACATAGGGTTATAAAGGAAGCTGATTATGTTGAAATAGAATTATCAAAATATTTAGAAAACAAGCTCATGGACCGCTGAGTTAAGAATCCCAGCTCTAAAGGCTTTTGCCTCCTGGTTGGGACTCCATCCTCAAGGTCCCTATTGAATCTCTCAGGTCACATACTCCCTTCCCATACAGCCTGATGACCTCAGGACTCAGAATTCATCCCTCTTAAGTCACATCGCTGAGCCTTGGGGTTCTTGTCCTATCAGCAAATCCTTACATTCGCCTTCTGTTGAGGGCAAATTTTTTTTTTTGGTAGGGGGGTATGAGGCAATTAGGGTTAAGTGACTTGCCCAGGGTCACAGCTAGTAAGTATCTGAGGCTGGATTTGAACTCAGGTCCTCCTAACTCCAAGGCCAATGCTCTATCCACTGTACCACCTAGCTGCCCCCCAAATCATTCTTTGAATCCCCTAAGTTCCTGATTTAGGATTCATCCTCATCTCCCCCTCCTGCCTCACATCTAGTTGACAAGTCATGTATAGTATTTCTCACATCCATCATGTTCTCTGTACTCACACCCACAACCCCTCTAGCTCATGCCCTCATCACCTCTGCCCTAGACTGTTTCAATAGCTTCCAAATTGGACACCCTACAACCAACCTCTCTCTCCTTTCTAATCCAACCTCCAAAGAGCCATCAAATCGACGTTCCTATAGCACAGCTCTGACTATGTCACTCCCCAGTTCAAGAAGCTTCAATGGCTCTCTGTTACCTCTAGGATAAAATAATAACTCCGATTTGGCATTTAGAACCTTCATATTCTGGCCTTGGTTTGTTTTTACAGGCTGATTATATACTTTTAGGCCAAACTGACCAGCTTACCATGCCCTGTACCATTTTCTGCCTTTGCACAGACTTCCCCCCTGCCTAGAATGCTTTCCTTCATCCCCATTTCTTGGAACTCCCTATTCCCTTTCAGACTTATCTTGACTGCCACTGCCTACAAGAAGTCTTTTCTGATTTCCACCAGTTGCTAGTATTTCCCCAGAAATGAGTTTGCTTTTATTTTGTATATGTACTGTCCCCTCCCCCCAATTAGAAACATAAACTTCGTTAAGGCTAGGACCGATTAATTTTTGTCTTTTTATCCCCAGTGCCTAGTATGCAGTAGGTACTTAATAAATGTTTATTGATTAGGTGATTAGTAGATAAACTATACCAAGGAGAGTTGACATGCCTGTCCAGCCCTAAAGGTGGCAGGAACTGTGTATTCTTTGTCACTATTGGAACCCATAAAGGTTAGAAAAATCATACGGTTGGAATGGACCTCAGAATGCAGTCCACCTAGTATAGGAATACTGTCTACATCACTGAAAGATTCTAATTCAGTCCTTTTTGAACACTTCCTGATGAGGGAGCCCTCTACTTCAAGAGATCCTCTTGGACCTGATTGTCAGAAAGCTCTTTATATTGAAATTTGCCTCCTGGTAATTTCCCCTCACTGCATCTACACAAAATGTCACTTTCCTCTTCTGAATCACATTTCCCAACATTGTCCTTCCTTTGAGGTATTTAAAGATGGTAGTTTCTCTAGGCTAATTATCCCTATTTTCCAAATATGGCATGGTTTCCAGATCCTTCCCCCCAACCACCAGGTCCACTTTCTCAGTGGGGATGTTCAGAGACCACTTCTGTACTCCAATATGGTCTGACCAGCCCAGAGCGTGGTGGAATTGTCACCTCCTTCTCAACAGTGTACTTTTTTAAAAAAAATTACTTATGTCTTTTGCTTTTAAATCACCTACATTTCCCTCTTTTCCCCCACCTTTCTGTTAATACAGCTGAAGGTCATGATTTTGGGGGGCACTTTTGTCACAGTGCAGCACTCTGAGCTTTTAGTTCACTAACACCCCCCCCCCAGCCTTTACAACATGAATCATTTTCAAATAAGTTTCTCCTGCCCTGTGCTTTGCTGTTAGTTTTATGAGCTTATGATCAGGACTCTGTGTTTATCCCTGTTAAGGTTCACCTCTTTGACCATCCTTCCAGCCCTGATTTTTAAAAATCCTGATTTTTAATGTGGTCCCAAGGCATGCTTTTGATATCTTCATGCAAACCCGGCAAAGAAAAATGGGCAGGAGAGTTGGGGAGACCTTAGTCACTTGGTCTCAACCCACTTGAGCTGATCACAGCAAGATAATTAACTGCGGGTTTGAAGCTGGTCTGGTTATGGCTGATCCCTTAGAGCTGGGGTCTGGTCTGAGGCTCCCCCAGGACCTTCTTCTGCAGTATCCCCAAGGTGAGGGCCATCACTATGACCCTATGCAGACCCCTGCATACCAAATCCTAGGGAGATAGATCTCTAATCCAATTTTCCCTCCTAGCTTCTCTCATCCTTGGGGGCAGGCCTATTCTCCAGCTATTAGGGTCTTCTCTCTAGACCTAGAGGCAGTTACTCAATATGTCTACATTTCTCCTTCTTGGGCACCCTACAGTAGAATGTTAGCTCTTTGAGGGCAAGCCTCTTTCTTTTTGTCTTGATATTCCTTTTGATGGCCATGACGCCCTGCAAAGAACAAATACTTAATGTTTGTTGGCCTGAATCACGGCAGGGGACAATCATCCCACTCCTCCCTGTGGCTGGAATGCAGTGACAAGGAAAGGAAGTAAAGTGAGATAGAAATGTTAAAATAAACTCTTTATTCTTTATAAGATTGTTCTGTAATACTATTTGCCCCTGAGGAATCCCCAGGAAAACAAAAAAACTGCTTCAGGGTCTCCCCTATCTCCTGATCTCCACTTTCCCTAGGGAAGAGTGAAACATAGGTCTGTTCCAAAGAAGGGTGTGGGGCAGGAGAGCCCATGGGGTCAGTGTGGGCATTGATGCTCTAAGACTGTCAAAAATCCTGGCACTGTGGAAGTGAAGAGGAGACTAGGGCTTTGGCCCCAAGGGTAGTGGGGTCAGCAGTATAGCCAAAATGGCCAATCAGATCAAAAGAGCACCACCTCGAAGAGAGACACCCCCCCCCATTTCCCAGGGCACAGGACTCTGGGCATCTAGGCAAGGGTAAGGCCCCATGACTAAAACCCAAAGAGTGCAAGCTCATGATGGGATGAGCCCCAAGGACACAGGCACCCCCTCTCATATCCACAGATCTCCTGAATGGGACCCGAAACTACAGAGGAGGAGGTTCCAACTGTTCTGGGCCCAGGAGAGGATAATGACAATTCCACAGGCTCTCCTTGCTTGGGAAGATGGCCTAAACATCCCCTTCCTCAAAACCACGCCTCTGGGTTCCAAGGAGGAAGGCAGGTTCTGGGCATAAGCTGGCGATGAGGGAATCGGTCCTCACTGGTTTTTGATCTGAATGTGGACAAAGAGTGTGGCTGGAGAGAGAGAAGCCCCGTCCTTGGAGAACAGGTGGATGTGTCGGTACCCTGTGGGAGAAACCAGGCATTAGGATCAATGCCACCCTGTGCCAACATAGTAGGAGGACTGACACCCAAGCCACCCTGTGCCAACATAGTAGGAGGACTGACACCCAACAACAAATGTGTTGGGAAAAGAGCACCAGTGTTCAGAGTCCCGAGCATTGTGACAATGATCTGAGTGAGTTACAGAGAGGGCAGAGGTAGTCCTTGGCCCACACTTAGGCCTACGGGTCTATTTCTCACCTGGCACTCCTCCCCTTCCATCCCATCACATGCTCACCTCCCCCTCCATCCCATCACATGCTCACCTCCCCCTCCATCCCATCACTTCCATGTCATCACCCCTCCAGCCTTCTCCCTTCTGGTCTTCTTATTCCCTCTCCAGTCCACTGTC